GGACACTTGTTCCATTTTTATTGCACAAATGTATTTTTTTGTATCTAAAAAAAATAAAGAAAAATATCAAAATTCGTATTTTGTCATTCTCTACAAATAGAGACCACACTTGATATATTTTAGAACACAATTGCAATTTTTAAATAAATTAAAATAAAATAAATATTTAAGTTGAGTTGGATTATGAATAAAGATAAATTGGATTGGAAGATTGAGTTGTGTAGGTAGAGGAGAGAGAAATAATTTTTAATTGTTAAGTTGAGTTGGGTTGGGTTGAGGATAAAGATAGTCTAAGTGAATTGTGAATAACAGAGAGTCAGAGATAATTTTCTCTTTTTACTTTTATATATATAAATTAAATTTATTTTATTATTATTAGCTTATCGGTTCGGTTCGATTTTACCGAACCATAATGGGTTCGGAACCGATACCGAACCGATAACTTATCGGTTACCGAAATTCGATTACCGATACACATGAGTTGGTTCGGTTCGGTTTTTTAGCACATCGGTTCGGTTCGATTCGATTCGGTTTTCGGTTTTCGGTCAAAAAATACCAACCCTAGTTTTGACGAGTAGCTTTTTCCCTTGTTCTAACACGACAACCGCACGACGAAATTAGTCAAATTCGAGTTGGAACCAACTCGTCATCTTAAGATGAATAACAACAACAACACGATGATGTTAGCAGGAGGCGGTGGCGGAAGAGGGAATGGAAGCGGTGGCATCGGCGGAAGTGGCCGGTCGTGGCCGTCGGCGTCATCCGTCTCCGCCTCCGGTAAGAGAATACAGAAAGAGCTGTCGGAGCTGAATACGGACCCGCCACCTGATTGTGCCGCCGGCCCCAAAGGCGACAATCTCTACCACTGGGTCGCAACTCTCTTCGGTCCCCCTGGTATGCTGATGCTCTCCTGCTTTACTGTACTGTTTAATGTACTGTGATATGCCATGGAGCAAAGTCCACAGTACCCTGCGCTTCAAGAGTTGTACCTTGCTGTAAGCACTGCAGTTTTACCCTTGATTACATCGTTTGTAGTTTTAGAAAGATACTTCAGTTTCAGGGTTTTTGATTTTGTTTTCCTCCCAATTTAGGCTGTATGTGTTTTAGTTGATCTTTGTACTGGAAGAAATCAGAACGGGAAAGGGTCATTTACATGTTCTTTTAGGGTTTGAATTTGTGGTTTTAGTTCCGGCCAAGCAATTGGGTTATATGATGTGGTCTATGTCACTATGTTGTGTGCATTGATATCATGCTGGCTTCTGCTGATACTTGATAGGTGGTATCTATTATGACAGATCTATGATAAGGGGTTTCCCCCAACTTACTCTAAAGCGTTCGCCTTCCCATGATTTTTTTCTTTTCTTGCCCGGTTTTATCATTCGTGCGATTAGTTAGTTCGTTTTTATCTAAGCAATGGCTTGTTGTATAAGGTAATGAGAAAACTTCAGTTTGACATGTCCATTTCTTGCTCAGTCTAAGATTGTTGTGTGCGGCGTGCTTCACGAGACTCATGCCAAGGTTGCCTTTGGAACACTAGTTTTCTTATCTATTTTATTTCTCCTTTTCTTTTTGATTATATTGGTCTTTAATAATGGCGTTTCATTGGAGGTGAATCCAAGAAGCTTCTTAAGAGAATCTGATGAACCTAACAGAAATCGTATCTATTTATTTGGCAGGGACACCTTATGAAGGAGGCATATTTTTCCTTGATATAACATTCCCTTCCGATTATCCTTTTAAACCCCCTAAGGTAAGTCCTGCCCATGTAAAGAACTTCATCTCATGAAACTTCAAAAACCATATCATGGATCAAAAAAATAATGCTTCTTGTTAATTTGGCTTGACGTGAAAGTCCTTTTCTTATTTTTTTTTTCAATTATTCCTGAAGTTCGAATCTTAGCCATGTGCAGGTTGTGTTCAAAACAAGAATCTACCACAGTAACATTGATCCTAATGGAAATGTTAGTTTGGATATGCTGAATGATGGATGGAGCCCAGCTCTTACCATCTCAAAAGTACTTTTAGCACTTAGATCGATACTTGTCAACCCTGATGCATGTAAGAATATCTAACCTTCTTAAGTTTTTTTTTCTCTATTTTACATTTGTACTGATGAGTTAAAAGGAATTGCATATAATGCACTTGTCGTCTTGTTTGGTGTGGCTTTGGTTTAATTTTTCCACGATCTTTATAACGACAAGCTACACTATAGTGCATATAGTTGGTTGGTTCTTGAGTGAATAGTGTAATCAGAAAGACACCCTACTATTTTCGAGAATTATAATAACCCTTAAAACTTTTGTACTATTCGCACTTTATTGAGCAGGTAATTTGAAGTGATTTCAAACCTCAAAAGCAATTTGTAACATGTGGTTTGGGGAGTGGGAGTGTTTGTAATTTAAGAGCTACTTGGGTTTTTTGGATTCTGCAGATAAACCCCTTGTTCCTGGTATTGCCCATTTATACTTGGCCGACCGGGCAAAGCATGATGAGCTGGCTGCCGAGTGGACGCAAAGATTTGCAAAGTAAGATGTTGAAAAAAGATCGCAAAACGTTTTTTCCTCTCTCTCTCTCTCTCTCTCTCTCTCTCTCTCTTTTCATTTTCTTCTCTTTCCCCCTTTTCACTCATAAATTCGATCCATGCACACAGGTTAGATGTTTGTGATATTGATGGTTCAATAAGAATGTGAAACACACATGTTGTATACGCCTGTAAATTTTGAAAATGTAGTATGAAAAATAATGATATAACACATGATCAGAAGACATATGTTGATGAATTAGTTTTTATGATGATCATATTCTTATTGTATTTAATCTCTGGTTTGTTTATAATGTTCATCTTCAAATAAAAAGAAATAAAAAAAATTGATCTATTTCATCTTTGGTTTAAGAAAAACACAGACAGTGAGTTCAATTTATACGGCATATCTGAAAACCAAAACAAAAAAACAGAACAACACTGAAATATTATTGACAAAATATCTGAAAACAAAAAACAGAACACTTTTAAGCAATACCCAAGTCTGATACTTTACCCTTTTCTGCCAACTCTTTCTATATCCCAACAGTACTTGTAAAACAACATACAACAAGAACACAAAATAAAATATCATCAATTTGACCTGAAAAAAACGAAAAGCATCAGGAAGCATCGACGCCATTGTCGACCCTCCTAAACCTGAGCCACCCCTTTGACTTGCAAAGCCTCATCAACAAAAACCAGAGAATCCCAGCCGCAGTCATAACCCCACTCACCAGGTACACCGTCTTGGTGGCTATCACCATTATATACACCAGAAACCCAGACGGCACCAAACACATAACCACAAGCCCCGGCAGGCCCATCGGCACTCGGTAAGGCCTCTTCATCAACGGCTTCTTCCTCCTCAGCCACAAAAAAGACGCAAACTCCAACAGCATCCCCAAACTGTACAGGAAGTTTGCCGATGCCACAATGTCCGTGTAGCTCATGTACGAAACCCCTAACGCAATCAGAGTCGAAACCAAAATACCGACCCAAGGCGTGTTGAACCACTTGGACCTCAACGCAAAGAATCTCGGTAGCACTGCCAAATCGGCCATTCCCAGCATCTGGTACGCACAGCTGCTCAATTGGGCCTCGAAAAGCCCGATTGCGGACATCACGGCCCCGATCTCGATCCAGAACTTGAGCCACTTGCCGGAGATGATCTGGGCAGCGTCAGCCATGAACCCGGCCTCCCACAGGCTCTGGTCAACTGAGACGGCCCCAGTCACGGCCACCAGAGGGATTAAGTATCCCAAGCAAGTCAATATCACGGCGGACAGGAGGGCTAATGGGAAGGTCTTGTGCGGCTTGTCCACTTCGCCGGCCATGGTGCTCACGTTGTCCCAGAAGTTGAGATTCCAGAAGAGTGTATTGAAGAATAGGTTCCAATCTCGCTTCACCCCGCTCTGACCCAGGCTGATCCATCGATGGGGTCGGATTTGGGGGATTGCGATTAGGGACATTATTATGAAAGGGGCTAAGGACACAATCCCTAATCCGACGGCGAAATAGCCGACTATGGCGAGGCCGGTGTAGTTGAGGAAGGAGAGCAAGAGGGTTGAGATTAGGATCGCTAGTGTTCTAGGGAGTCCAGAGGCGAAGATTGGGAAAATTCGCTTGAGGTAGTCGATGCAGAGGGCCGGGAAGGCGGCGATGTTGATGACGCCGCTGAGGAACTTCCAGGTGCCCATCAGGGAGCCGAAGAAGGGCCCGAAGGCTCTGTCCGCCCAAGTCACGAACCCGCCGTTCCCGGGGAAGGCGGTGGAGAGCTCGGCGGTGATCAGTGCTTCCGGGATACTCCATATAAAGGGGAATATGAGGAAGCCCAGGATGGCAAAGAGGGGCCCGGCGGCCTGGACGGCGGGCTCCTCGCCGTAGGGACCTCCGGCGACCTCGAAGTAGATGAGGAAGATGAGGGGGATTAATGTGAGCTTCTTGGCGGAGGTTGTTGGGGCAGTGGTGGTGGGAAGCTCAGCGGTTTGCGGAGGTTGGTCGTCATTGGGAGGATTTGTTGTTTGGATTACCATCGGACGATTAAGATTTTCTTTGGGTTTCGGGGTTTGGTTGTGTGGTGTTTAAAAAGAAATAATTATTATTTGGTCATTGAGAATCTGATTGATTGCACGGTGCAAACAAAATATCAACTTGTCTATGATACATTTGACCTTGTTTTGTATCTCCATCAATTTAGTTCAAATTATCTTCTTAATACCACAAATTGGTAGCTTTGACTAAATAAAAATCTATAATATGAAAGGAGGAGAACAAATACCCATCCGGAGATTGGTGAAAAATGAAATGAGGATATTGATAGAGGGATTTTTAGATTGTATTCAGTATCGATCAATCAACAAACTGAACACTTTTCCAATACCTATAAGTTTCTTAGAATAATTAACCAAGCTATATACTCTTTCGTATAACTCTGAACCCCATTATCCCAGCTAACTCTGGCTCATCAGCCGAGCTAGTCTTGACTGAGTCACCTAACTATCTTTATGGGCCACATCAGAAAGGACCCTTGACTGCATGAACCCCAACAAGGCCCCTGACCAAGATGGTATATCTCTCCTCTTTTATCAAAGGTTTGGAATATCATCAAGCTTGATCTTTGTACTGCTATTAAAAGTTTCTTTGAATCAAGTCAAAATTTAAGAAGGTGAAATCATATTGTTTTAACTCTTGTCCCCAAGTGCACTAATCCTACTTCTGTTGAAAATTTCAAACCCATTAGGGCGCGATTGTATATCTTTTCTACAGTAAATATTCCACTCAAAACTCAAATTTAACTCAACTCCACTACCTCCTATATTATCAATATAATTAAATAATACTCCCTCCTGTTCAATATATTTGTCGTTATGGCTTTACTGAGTATTAAGGAAATATTTGTCGTTTTAGAACTTTTAATCTGATTTTTCCAATTTTACCCCATCCATCTACTCCACTATGCCTCTTCGTATTCAGGTTTCACCTTTCCCCAAAACTCCATCTCTTTCCCATGGCAATATGTACTCCAATCCATCTTCAACAATTTATGTGTGCCTTTTTAAATCCAATTTTTTTCTAGTCCAGCTGATTCTTATTCCATTGTTCTCTCCTTTATTATTTTCTCTTTCGATTAATGGATTCGAATGGTCATGAAGATTCAAATTTATATTTGGAATCCCACTTTGCTAAATATGTTCAATCTCATCAGCCTCTTATGGATGAAATTCTTCAACTATTGGAGAAGACAAAGGCAAGTTTAGATGTTGCACATTCATTAGCTTTGCAAATTAGTGATTCGACGGAGTCATTTAAGGTGTATGTGTCCGATTCGGACGTTGAAGATGATCAATATTCTGCAAGAGGTTCATATGCTTTCTCAATTTTTACTTGTTTCAATTGATTTATTTGGTTTTGGAAAAAGATGTTAATCCTAGCTTGTTTAATTAAGCAGTTTATTCTCTCTTCAGCAATTTTCCATAAAATATTTTGTTTTCTTAACTAGTCATCATTCATTATGTAATTAATGGTAGATTAACTTAATTGTTTGAGAATATTTTTGCATATACTATGTCATAGACAATCAAATTACTGGCCAAAAGTGACGAGGAACCATAATGGAATAGGCTTGTGTTTTTTCGATCATTTTGTTCTGTTTATTTCTCTTCCTTGATATGTTGCCTTTTTGAATAATTTTCAAAGTCATAACATTGTTATTCTATTAATGATAGATTTGTTTTGTTGTATGTGGTTATTGACTTAGTGACATCGCAAACGGAAGTTCAAACTAAGGTTAATGCACTTGGAACTAGTTCTTCAAAATTTAAAAGTGCAACAAAGGTTGATGAGAAGCTTGTTGTTACGGAAGAAATATCTAACCCGAATGATCAAGTTGTGCACGAGATGCTAAAGATTTTTGTGCCACAGTTGTTTACTGAAAAGTAGATTAACATTTTAAGAATATTATGAAGAGTACGGTCATAATTCGTTTTACAACTATTTTATCGAGCCATCTTGTATCGATTGAGAAATGGCTTGGTTTTATGTTTCCCAGTGGTGAATTGTGATCTATGTTCTTATCATCATTTGACGTGAATGATCTTCAATGAAGGGTGGGATTTTTATTTGGTATTATTTGATAACCCAATTTGGTTCTGTTTCTATTGAATAGCTAAAGTTGATTCATTTTTGTTTCCTGATTGAATTATATTTTCATTTGATTGTGCACTGTTTAAGAGATGCAATTTTTTGACCGGTTCTTAAGTCAAAACCAATTATTGTCTTTTTTTTTTTTTATTATTTGGTTGCCCAAAAAAACCAGAAAGACCAAATCGTTCGAACTCGGTTCGATTATTTTTCGGTTCGTACAGATATTTAGGTGTTAACTGAACCGGTTTTTTTATTACGGTTCTGGTTCCGGTTCTTGAAAATTATGTTAAGAACCGGACCGGTCCAACTTAAAGAAGTTTAACTGAGTAACTTGTGAGTGTTGCAATCATGGCTCAATTCCTCTCGACAGTGTTGAAACCTAAAGTATATGGTTTTAATCTGTACTCAGTCGTCATCTTTCTTTAATCCTCATTGCTAAGTTGTTTTAACTCAACTTCCACCATTTTAACTAAAACAGAAGAGAGAAATCCTCTTGGAAATATATACATATATTGTTGCTTGCATTATATTCTCCATCCTACTATTTTCTTTACACAAACCTCTATTTGATCCATTTCTTTCCTCAAACAATTAATGCAAAATCCTACACCTTTCAAATATCTGTCCAACTACCACATTATCACTATCTTCATAATCTTCCTCTATGACAATTCTAATCTCTTCTTCACCACAACCGAGCCTTCATAAGCATAAAGCTGCGTCATCTCCTCTGTCAGCCTTCACGGGGGGTCTGCCATTTTTTCGGGTAAGAAGCAATTTCTCAGAAACAGTCCGTTTTTCGGCGAGCTCCTCATAGCAGGTCCTTAGCTTTCATTTTCGGCGACCAGAAGCCTTCGCCGGAGAAGATACGCCGCATGTTGGTCAGTCGCGAGTTGACGAGAAGAGAAAAATTGCAGAAGGAGCCTTATTTGATGTTCCGACTTTGGGTGTGCCGTTGGGCCTCGATAAACGAGTTGATTATTAGTGAAAATGCTTTCGAGAAAGCACGACAAAAGAAGAAGC